TACATTATCTCAATTAGCACTCACGTCAATCTATAGAAATAGGTTACATGTTTCCTCATTTTCCAGATGAGTAATCTTAAACATAATAGTAACTACATAGAGACTGAATTTTATAAAAGTAGTTCAGCCTAACGTAGGGAAATGCAGAATTATAGAATTTTATGGCACTAAAGAAAATGCTGGTCTAACCCATCACTTCGCAGAAAAAACAAAAGAGATTTATTTACCAATGCTAAGTGATTACAATTCAGCTTTTCTGAATCCTACACCTGTATTCTCTTTGGACATATTTTAACAAGAAATGGGAATCTTTTATTCTGAGATAAAACAAACAAATAAACAAACAAAAACTCCATAACAAAACTGTGAGTAGTTTTGCATGACAAGGAACCTAAAGGTACTTAGTAATCTGAAAAAAGAAAAAAAGGAAAAAGTTCAAAATTCTTTCATCACATTTAGAATTCCAGAGAAAAAACTTCCAGTTCCAAATAGGCATTAAATTTTAATATAAATGTATCAAATTTCCTCAAATTTTTGAGGAAAAAGTCATGTTAAGTATGATTTGTTTAGTATGTTATAATATTAGTTAAACCATAACACCTGAAAACATTACCCCTTTATGCTGTGTTTCATTTACGGTTTTGTCACAAAGAAATGTGTTTTTTACTCACTGCAGCTTGTTGTTGTTTCAATTTGTCTCTGTACTCCTCTAATTCTTGCAAATTGAGAACAGGAGGGAGCTTCTGAAAAACAAATCCATTAGAGAAACGTAAAATAAATTTAGTTTGGTGTCATTTACCCGTACACCTCTGACTTACGAACTGTGCATACAAAACAGTGTCACATCTCAATCATGTTCATTCCTCCTGCCCCTCCTCTACTTCCCCTATTAGACTCCAGACACAAAAGCCTACACATCTTTGTTACCTACCTCTGTGCTCCTTGCCCAGCCCACCATCTCCACTACAGCTGCCTCCCACCCACAGGCATTTCCATTGGGACCCATGACTCCTACGCTAGGAGACACTGCTTTCATGATCTGTGACAGGAGAATTCGCCACGCTACGGGCACAGGTATATTCCTACTTCTCTATGACAGAATTCAAGGTGTATTTCCCCCCTGAAATGCCATGAGTAGTAAGTAAGCACCTCAGGGTGACAGCGACAGCTGTTGGAGTACATGCTAGATTATACATTGGCTTTCGAAGGACAGCCATGGGAAACTACCAAAAATGTATACCATTGTGTAGGTGCGAAACTCCAACTTAGACTCCAAGTCTCAGTCAACTGATTGATGAAATCTCAGAATGAGATGGGGAATGCCTTTATATGTATTGCATATAAAGTATGTATATGCACATTGTGTTTGGTTTTGTCTAAAAACAAATTTTACTATTCTGGCTTTTTTTGAAAGTTCTTATAAATTTAAAATGCCAATGTTGTAAACATTATGGCACAGGGATACTTACCATGACTACACAATTATGCAGATATATATCCATGATTAAAAATCCTAGAGCTTTTCTAAACATATTTAACATAAAATAAAATAGAGGCAGCATATTAACATACTGTGTGTTAACAGTTAAAAAACAAAAATACAGAAATGTTTCCTGGACAAATATTCTACTCCTGCACTTAAGTTTACATTTTTTAAAATAATTTCACCTTTAAACAATGCAGACAGTTCGGTGAATCACAATATGGTCATTACAGACCAATCCTGGTATCAAAAAATATAACATCCCTAAAAAGCATCAAAATCTCACAAATGTAATTATTGGGGGGGGGAGGGGAAGGGGCTTTAGACAGGTTTTAATGAATTTTATTTTTTACCTCCAGCTCATATTTAACAATATCAAATGAGTCTGTAGAAAAATATATTTGTTCAATACTATTGATTAGTTCTTGTTCAGCTTGAGGATCACTAGGCTGTTCTCGAAGTTCTCGGAATTCCTCCTTTAAGGAAAAAAAAAATCACAATTACAGTACTTGTAGCTGTTACAGTTCTATCTACACAGAAATAAACAATCATCTTTCTTAATAATCACAAATCCAGGGAAGCATTCTGACAAAGGAGACAAACTGATAGAAAACAGGAAAGTTCAAGAAAATAGCCAAACACTAAAAACTATTCATCTGTTGAAGAAAAAACAGCCAGTTTGATAATTCAGATTTGATTTTCAATTCCTTGTGTGCCAACTAGCAGTTGAGAACTTAAACGTTTAATGAAAAGAAAAAAAACAACCACCTAGTACCTGTCATACATACATACCACATGTAGACACATTTTCATCATTTTACAACATTCTAAAATCTGCCTCACACAGATAAACAGGGAACAACATCTCAGTGACATCTGAGTCACACTCAGCACTGGACCCCTGAGAAGCTGGCATCCTTCCTTCTGCTGAAAAACCTCACCACTCAGCTAAGAAACACTGGCTCCAGAAAAGCTCTACAAGTTTAGCTCTGCAATCCATGAGACTTCCTTTCAAGTCTACTAATACATATAGTAGACTAATTATATGATTCTATGATTATGAAACCAGTGCTCTACATCAGATAAAATGCTCCTTCCTAATAATACACAGTGGAACTGCTATGACTTTATGTAACTAAAAAGAGTTTGACAGACAAATCCTACCCCTAATGTCAGCATCCTTACCTATGCAATTTCATTGCTTAATTGAATAAACCCTCAGTTAACTGGGAAATTTCAGTAATCCCGATACCCTCTCTTAACCACACTAATTAATCAAGACATTATTATAGATATATAACAATTTAGTCATTTGATCATACATTTAAGTACACAAAATGAAACTAGTATATTAAATCATTTTATAGTCATTAAAATAATACTTTGAAATTCTTAATGAATTCTCACTAAGTAAATACACAAAAATTATATGGTCAATTAGAGGACATTATTTGCCAAGTAGAAGTACTCTAGATTATTTTATTGCAGGGCACAGTTTTCAATAAAAAGAAAGCCTTATAACATATATCTTAGGCTTTGATTGATATTTTACATGTGTAAACCTATTAAACATAAAATTATCTCCTCTGGATAGACCTAAGCTAAAATATTAGACAATAAATCTGAAGATCAAGAGAATATTTAATTGTTTAAGTTTAAAATTCCAGTAAATTTCAAAGAGAAGGCAAAGTAAGTGCATGAAAAAGAAAATGCCTCTTTAGTACCAAAGTTCAACTTACAAAATACACTAACAGAAAAGGGTCAGCAATACAGCCATCACCAAGTCAATATGCAATCAGATACTATGAGTACAGTAAGAAATCAGTGAGGGCTGTATTTGGGGGCGGAGATTTACCTACAGCGCACTAATCTGTGTAGTACCCTGGACAGTGGTGCTGAAGAACAGACTTGGGTTAAACCCACACCACTTACAGAAGGTTCTCAGCTAGCCTACCCACAGGCAACCTCCCTGCATACAAATGTAAAATGACATTGACACAGAAAATGGGAAAAGAGATCAAAAATTTCTGGCAATCTCCCTCCCTAAAAGTCCACAGGCATTTTGAAATACCAGCTTCAAATGCTGCAAGCTAAGGCTAGAAATAAGGTCCAAATAAGGATATGGTAATGTTGCCTCCCTAGGAATTCCACAGCACAAGTAGCAAATAAATGTACTTGGTACCACTCAAAACAAAACAAAACAAAAACAAAAACAAAAAACAGAAAAAAGCTGAAGATTACAAAAATTACTAAGATTGGAAAACATTAGGTATGAAGCTAAACTAAAAATTGAAAGAGACTGCAATGAATGAGCACTATACCTTAAACGTATAAATGCCAATGACATGTAACTACATGCTAAAGTTATCCATATATCATCTAAATGATTGATCTAAAGGTAAAGACATTTGGGTTTTAGTTGCAACTCTGCTAATAACCTTGGACAATTTACTTCGTTTCTCTATGCCTAGTTTTTGTCGCCTACAAAGGACACACACACACACACACACACACTCAAAATGACAGTGAAACAAATATCCAAAGTTATAAAAGTGCCAAAGGAAAACCATTATTTCATTTATAAATATCTCATAAGTGTACATTTCACAAATGTGATGAATCTGGGGGAAAAAAGTACAATCGGTGTATGTATATAAAAGGTCAAATGTCATTTCTTCCTGGAGAACTGAGCAATTATATCACAGAGAGCAGGCAAACTTGTATAATTTCAGAGAACTGACATGTAACACTTGCCACGGTAAGTAACTTGGAATAAGAAAAGGGATAAAACCAAGAAAGACAGAAAAAGAAACACAGCACCTAAAATAGAATTCAATAAAAAACAAATGCCCACCACTATATTCCTATAAAATACCCTCTCCTTTCACACAACTTAGTGCAGGGGTGGGCAAACTTTTTGACTCGAGGGCCACAATGGGTTCTTAAACTGGACCGGAGGGTCGGAACAAAAGCATGGATGGAGTGTTTGTGTGAACTAATATAAATTCAAAGTAAACATCATTACATAAAAGGGTACGGTCTTTTTTTTTTTTTTTTTTTTTTGTTTTTTAGTTTTATTCATCTCAAACGGGCCAGAGTTTGCCCACGGCTGAGTGGCTCCTGTGTGAAAACATAAATCTAATCTCAAACTCCACTCTGTTTAGAATCCCGAACACCTTTTTATCCCACTGCACTTGTAGCTATAAGACTGTTTCTCCTAATCGTCTCCAAAGGCTTCCTCGCCCTTAGTTCTGCCTGCTCAATTGGATTACACACTTGAGAACTGAGATTTCTCCTTGCTACTCCATCACTACGCCCTGCAGCGCCAAGTCACACTGTAGATAACAATCACCAAACAAACTGAAATTAATTGCAAAGTTATATTTTTAAAAATAAATATAAAAGAACAAAAGAAGGAAAAACAACGTATTCTTGTTTTGATAGGCAAATTTTCCCACAAACTCTGCATGAAAGATTTATGTCTTCTAAACTAGAAATAACAATAAATGTTAAATGATTTTAGGGATATTTTATGCATGTAAATTAGGAAAAAAACAAAGCATCTAGATTGCATATTCTTACCACAATTACTCAATAATTTTGCCATTATGTAACTGGTTTCCTAGGATTGGAGATATACCAAAAAGCCTAATTCTTCACCTAAATCAAAACCAAATTTGCAAGCCAATATATATGAGGTAAAGTTTTATGCAAATAAAATAAACAAAAGATTTCCTACAAAAAAAAATTAAAAGGCAAAATCAGGAGAACAGAACAAATGAAACTCCTTATACCATATTAAAATACAACACTTTTTAAAGGTACAGTAATATTAGATATTTAAGGTAGGTACTATTTCTAAAAATTTAAAAGGACTTTATTTTTTATAGTAAATTTTATGTCACATATAGTAACTAAAAAATCCATATTATCATCAATAGTGGTAGAAAGGTTCTGAAAAACTTGAAATTCAAAAATAATTTGTCAATAACTACAGACCATCAACTACGCCACAGCTTGCCTGCAATGGTAATCAACTACACCTAAAATAAGGAAAAAGTACATCATTGTCATTCCAGAATTAAAGCTGAAGTAAAACGATAATTAAAGTAATAAACTAAATTGTAAAGGACTAAAAACAAAAGTTTTCTCTGGAAAAATAAAATAAAATCTCTTTCACATACAATCAGGAGGAAATAATCTAACTACTTTCAAAGGTCTATACCTTTCCCACTCAAGTCATATATTTCAATTTAACTTTTTAAAAAATTCCCACAATGTAAAAATCCTCAACACTAGGTCATACACAAAGACAGCTTTCCTCTCAAATAGTTGCTAAAGTAATAGGATGAAGATGAATAAACAATAACGATGCAAGGCAGAAGTAAGGAAAGCAAGAGGAGGGAGATGAATAACAATAACGATGCAGAACAGAACAGAAAGGAGATAGAGAGGAAACAAAGGGCATCCAGGAAGAGTGAGTTCATATCTGATGCAAGGCTGGCGTTTAGAGAAAGTGAGAAGAGGTAAAATTTCAAATTTGAGAAATTCTGGGGATAAGATGATAAATATAAAGCAAAGCACATGTAAAATGAGTGTAGTATAAAGCATACAACAAGTTAAGCAACAGAAGGTGGCTTCCACAGGGTAGAAAAATGCCCCGGGGGGAATGTGCATGTATACCAAGAGGCAATAAAATGCAACAATTAAGACTTTAAAAAAATTAAATATATTTTAATATATATTAGAACCATATTTTTCCCTTACTAGAAATCAAATATATTCAACACATATATCACTGTGCCAAGTGCTATATCAAAAAAGCATACATATTCAGTATTTTCTTAGCATAATAAACTAAGCAGGATTATCTTAGGAAAGTGGTAGACAACAAAGAAGTTATTCGATATTTTAGAGTCTCTCTTCTAGCAGTTACAATACACTATAAGGTCGCATATAATATTACCTAGCCTATTTTTCTATTTATATCATCTTTGAGATAAAGCTACATGAACATACATATAAAAAATACACATCATAAATATAATTCTATGAAAAATAAAGAAAAACAATCAGAAATTTAAGTCAACATTTTAGCCAAGCCATTATTCCTCTCAACATAACAACAAAAGGTTTTATAAGAGGATTCAAGTCTACAAAACAAGTGGAGCCCTCAAGTGTAAGGTATTATAAAACATTTCCAATGTATTTATGGTTTCTAAGGAAGTAGGCTATAAATTTACAAAGCAATTTCTCACTTAAGGATTCATCTCTTAAGGGACCATATTCAAGTTTAGGAGGGAAAAAGAAAAGATTATAAATTTTGCATTTAACCACTACTTTCAAATTATACAAAATACCACATTAATTAGAAATTCAAACCCAAGTTCAGGACTTTCAATTCTATTCGCTTTCATATGTGTAAAAAGTTATAAGCAACTTAATAGTTCTCCTTACCTTATTAAATAAAATACTC